TAATCTATTATAATTTTAAATCTAATCAAATATACTACTCTCTATATCGTTTGAGCTTATATAAGTGATTATGAAGCACGTTTATCCTATATAGATAATTTTTATGAAATACCAATGAATCATACTTTAACTTTTTCACCACATTTTTAGGATAAACCCCAAAGAGTAGCTTATGTATTTAAATAATCTCAATAAATCTGTATTAACTGAATTTTCTCCAATGTACCCTTCCACATTCCTTCGAAAATCTCTCCCCAAATACTATTCGCATATATTTTGCCTATAATTTTTCAATCAAAATCTTCAAATTTATTAATCCATTTTTCTGTTTAAATTTTATTTCTTATAATTTTGATTTAACATTCAATTTTCTTAATTATGTTATTAAATTTCTAATAAAATTTTATTTATTTTCATTCATGGCTTATTAAATTATATTGTATAACATTTATTATTAAACATAATAATTATGCAAATGTAAACACCTTCATGAAATTCAAATGTAATTATACGTCCATAAATGATCTTGATAAGTAAAAACTGAACATAATCACAATTCTCAAAGTCACTTATAAAAAAAAGAAACCAAATCAAGATCAAAATTAAAGAACATCACTTATAGCTTATCCAAACAGGCACAAAAACTGAATCACTAAATTATGTTTACTTAACTATTTCCGAAAGTTTTGTATACTTAATTACATCATCTAATATATTTCACTTGTACTAACATGTTATTGAGTATCATTCCAAAATTCATATAAATGACACATGATAACAATTTATTAATTTATTAATCAGTGCTATTAGTAAATTCTTAATTCAACAAATAATGTGTACCAGCAAACAAGGTTCATAATTTTTAATTTTTAATCAACTTTATGTCCAAGTTTCTTTACCGGTAGTGTCAATATATAATTATATATTATAGAAAAAGATTTTTTGAATGATTTTCTCGGCTCTGTTGCTACACATGTAGGATGCATTGGGATCAAGAATTATTGTGTATGACAAATACAGTACTACCTTCGGTCCTAATTATAAGAGTCAGTTGATTAATTTAAGGAGATTAAGGAAGTAAGTTAAATTAGTTATTTGTCCTAAATATGTGTTGTCTTTCCTAAAATATCCTTACTAATCAAGTGTATTGACTAGAACTATCATTGTTAGAAGGGCTACTTTGGAAAAAAAAATGTATAAATATGAGAGACAAAATGAATTGGGATCTTATATTCAGGATCAAAATAAAAGTCAAACATGATCTTATATTAAGGACCGGAGGTAGTATTTTACCAGTTTGGCAAATATTTTTAAACAGATGAGATGACTTGCAACTATAATATATATTTCCAACCACAAAGAAAATATACCCACAATCAGATATTCCGTTCTCTCATTTTTCCAACCACAAAGAAAATATACCCACAAAGGAAAAAATGATAGTATAAACTTGGTCAAAAACTATCAACTATAATATAATTCAACTATATTCCTTCAAGATAAGTTGACCACACAAACGTCATAGCATTACTCTTTGGTTAGAAACTAACAGAATCTACCTTTATTCACCCATTCGTAATTATACCACCCCATTTCTTCATAGTATAAACTTCTAAAAAAGGTGAATGTATAGCCTTGAACTTACTTCCTCGTGCGTTGAATTGAACATATCAAATGAGACGCTTAATAGGGAACAAACTTATATGAAATGTAAAATCACATCCGCATAACAAATAGATAGACAAGTACATTAGGGCCAAAGTTGTTAACAAAAAATAAACATTCATCCCAGCATGCTGTAATTTAGCCCAGTTTGGATTAACAGGAACATGTGTGGCATCACAGTAAAAGTGGAGAACAGGTTCAATTGCCATAGAAAATAGAAAATAAATATTAAAATTTAAGTCTGCAGTTACCTCCTCCATGAATAAACACCGCCATCAAGTGACACAGTTGACCTATATGTACCCTAAAGTAAGACCACCAAAAAGCAAAACTCTGGCCATACGAAGCAACATGCTGGACAAGGGCAAAAACATCTAGACGATCGTTAACAATCCCTGAAAATTTCACCATCGTCTCCGATGCAGTGGTTCCACCCAGCATAATTGTCACTTCATTCATTCTAACGAAAAAACAAAAATATGACATTGAGGAACACTACCAGAACACACTACAAAAGATTTTACAAAAATCTCAAATTATAACAACTCAACTGTCTGTCCCTGATAACTAGTACGACGGCCTTGGAATAAAGACCACACCATTTTGACATTGTTGTCTCACTTATATACTTCAGAATACCACAGGCATCTACAAAGAGCATGCAAAAAGAAAAATTATATGCAATAACAAAAGTGAAAAAAGGAATTACATCTGCGTTGTTGGTCCAGACAACATTCTTGACAGAGAATCCTTTGATCCGGCAACATCTTCCCTCATTACATCTCCACGCGTTTCTTTCTATGACTTCTTCACTCATCAGCCTCTTTACCATCATTACATCCTTCCCAAACCAAGTCAAGAATAACCAATTAATATAACTTGGTCCAAAAGATCATTCAAAAGTTTTTATCTATATCTATATACACATCTATAATCTATAATCTGTATATGTATATATATTAGGAATCGAAGCAATGCATAAGTACGAACCACTAAACTGTATACAGCCAGGTCAAGACTCTATCCTCTAACCCTGCCTGTAACTCGCCATCGTCATTGGTTCTCCAGACGCCATTATGTTTGCTTACAACCCTGTGTTAATCTAATCTACAACCAGTAGAAAAGGATCAACATAGAAGAGACCTTTATATATACAGCAAGCGAATCGATGCCAGTTACCAAGCCCTTGAGAGTGGGTAGAAAATTAATTATCGTTTATCTCTGGAGGCATTAAATGCACACCAAAAAAACGACCAGGCGTATATTCACCAGGGCGTGCATTATTAGCATAATATCAGAGGGGAAAGATTCCAATCGCTGTTCGTATTTGCAGGATGGTTACTAATATGTTTAGAGGGAGCTGAAGGATGGACGATATATCAATTGCGTTCCCAATGGCCAAAAATAATTCAGAATTTTTAGGAGGTGTTTGGGTAATAAGAAAAGTTCAAAGCATTTTTTTGCAAATTGAAATAAATTTTTTCATTACTAAAATTATTTTTTAAATTATGATTTTGATTCTATCTATTTTCACGGACGTCTTTTTCAAGCAAACTCAATATACCGAGGGTGGGCATCCGGCGACCAACGCATTTAACGCAAAGTAAAAAAGACAAAAAAAAAAACAAAAAAAAAAAAAAAAGTGTTATCCTCTAGCCTAGTGCAAGAAGTCCAAACGACAGTGACCGGATGACTACGACAATGTGAACAGTAACATGTGAGAGGGTGAACAGTAACAAACGTGGTGCGGCAAAGGAACTTGGGGGAACAGATTCATATTGAACATTGATTTTGTCTGTGACACTGTCCGCTAGAGTTGGGAATACGGGCTGGCGGTACGGATACGGGCCAACCCGCAACGGTGTGGGCCAAAAGCGGTGCGGGCTGAAGTAGCCCGTACTTTAGCAGACTGGCATTTTGCCAACCTGAGCCCGCCGGCCCACCTAACTTTTTTTTTTTAAATATTATTATTTGTATAAGTTTGAGCTTAGTTTGTAATATTAAAATTGGACTTGGAGTTTTAAACTTGAGTAATGAGTTATAATAAAATAATGTGAGGATTAATTTATAATTTGAGAAGATATTTTAGAAAAACTAACACATATTTTTTTCTAAATAATTAATTTGACTATTTTTCTTATCCAAATTAATTAAGTAGATCTTTTATGTATGTATTACATATGCAATTACATGGATGAGAAGATGTAAATATGAAATTTGGGGGTTAAAATCCTCCAATTATGTTGTATAATATATTAGAAATTATATAAAAATAAAAAAATTTTATAAAAAAAAAGTGGGCTAGCCCGCGGCGGAGCGGGCTGAAAACGGTGCGGGCTGGAGTAGCCCGCACCTTGGCGGGTTGGCATTTTGCCAACCCGAGCCCGCCATTTTTGGCGGGCTAGCGGGTTGGGCCCGCGGGTCCAACCTGTATTACCAGCTCTACTGTCCGCATTAAATATCAACACATTTTTTTAATAAAAATTCAAACATTAACTTATCATAGTATGAAGTGCTAACTTCTTCTATTATATTTTAAATATTTAACATTGCTAATTGTAATGTCCAGCAGTGGTTTAACATTTTATAAGTGTTGAAATAAAAATCAAATTATAATTTTAAAAATAATTTTACTATGTATCTGAAAAAAGTTTTGCCTCGAAGGTATTTTTTAAAAATGTTTTTGGCATAGCCGATTATTTTAAGGAAAATGGCAATTAGGTCCCACTCAAGGGAATTAAATACAAAAAGGTCCCTTAAAATCATGAAATAATTTTAAAGTCCCAAAAAATTTTTTGCATTAAATTTTATTTATTTACTTACCAAATTACCCTTCTTTTTTTTTTTTTAAATTTGCATTGACAACTCAAAGAGTAATGGTTGACAACTCAGGGTGCAAAGATTGACAACTATCACGGCTGGTTTGACAACTTATAGTGTGATATGCTGAGAAAATGTGTTATCAAACCAGCCGCGATAGTTGTCAATCCTTGCACCCTGAGTTGTCAACCACTGCTCTTTCAGTTGTCAATATAAATTTTTTTTAAAAAAATAAGAATAATTTGGTAATTAAACAAATAAAATTTATTGCAAAAAGGTTCTTTGGGACTTCAGAATAATTTCATGATTTCAAGAGACCTTTTTGTATTTAATTCCTTTAAGTGGGATCTAATTGCAATTCTCCCATTATTTTATTGGGTTTATATCATGCTATCTGGGCCAGACCTGACCAGCAGGCTTCTCCTGTAAGCCATCCCGGAAGATCACAAGGATAAATTAGAAATCCCCGCGTATTTTCGAACCCGGCAATTGTCTGAAGGCATCGTTTGGAATTTTCGACTCCTCATTCTTGTGTTCTCTTGTATATTCTGCTTTCGTGATGCCATGAATAGGCTTTCTGAAGTTTTCCGTCATTTTATCCTTCTGATTTCGTTGGAGCAATGCTAGGGCTTTGCTGATTACGTGTGGGTTGTTACTGTAATGGTCATGGGAAAGAGAAACTCCCTGATTGTTTTATCTTCGGATGATGAAGATGATGTTACTACTTGCTACTTAAGTGGGGGTAATAACTATGCGAAGTCCAAGTCTAGGTCCACAAGCACGAGAGGAAAGAAGAAGGCCCGCCTTTCAGGTTCTCGGTCTCGATCGGCCAAAGACTCCAGCAAGTTGCATGAGGTATAAATGATCGATTCTGGTTTTTTTTTCCTTTAAATTTAAGGTTTGAAGTAAGAGCTGTTGTAATGGCTCATTTATAAAGAAAATGTTGAATTAAAAGCAGAATAAATATTGCTAGGTTACATTGTGTAAGCAATGTGAAGTAGTTGCCCAGTTACTGAAATTTTTGCTGCGTAAGACTTGATTTGAAGTTCCTGGTTGTGTGTGCACCCATCATTAAAGGTTTCCAGTGCATAACTTCCCATGTAGCACTCTAGTTCTATTTCAATTTCATTGTCTTTAAGTAGTTGTTTATTTTGTTTTTTCCTACACATGTATGAATGCTTCCCATATTTGAATCCAATATCCCTATTTGGATGCAGATCAACCAGCTTGGAGAAGACTTCAACGAAGTGTTTACTGGGTTCAATGTATCTGCTGGTACGCTGCTACTGTGTTCTACCTTTTGGTTGCATCAGTGTAGAATGGATAATTGTGCCCTTGCCTTCTTTGATCATAAAGCTATGAAATTCTTTGAGCAATAAGTTATGTCTTATTTTGCTTTACTACTAACAGGTAATAATATATGTATAATGTTAGAAGTCAAAACACTAAAAAATTTTAAAACAAGGTCTGGTCAAGTGTCTTGTGTCGAATCTGTTTAGAATTTAGATACTATAACTGGCGCACTAGCCTTCTTTTTCTTCCTTCTCTAAAGTTTTAAGCGTTGAATTGATGTGTAAGTGCACATTAGGCATACAAAGGAGCTATTCAGGGGAGCTATGGGTTCATAAACACAAGCCCCATTCGCTGGAAGAGCTTGCTGTTCACAAAAAAAAGGTCAAGACTCTGAAATTTAGCTTCTTGACTTTGACTATATGAATGGCGTCTCATTCTCTGTGTTGCCTTTGCAGGTTGAAGAAGTTAAGATGTGGTTTGAGGAAAGGTTAAAACCTTCTAAGGTAAATATTGGATTAAAGCTAAAGGGGAGTAGCCGATTCTTATGCTTTGTAAATTTTTCTTTTTCTCCTCAACGTGGCAAGAATGTCTAGTTTCTTTGGTTCCTTCGTAGGATTGATTGGTTAAGAGTGGTTTTGTCAATGATGTATGTGCACATATAAATAATTTTATATTTTTGTATTGTATGTTCACTCGTGTGCGTGCTCACAGATGTTTATAATAGTTATCATGGCATTCCTTGTGAACCTCACTCTTTTACAACCATGATGATATTACTTTCTAAGAAACAGACATGGATAAAACATATATATTTGTGTGTGTGTGTGTGTGTGTGTAGATATAGACACACCCACGCATGATGCAAAAATTAGAAATATCACCTAGAAGAAAGGGGAAGCAGCATTAATTGTTTATTCTGGATTCATTCCTAAACGCTTCACTTCATTCTTGAATTTAATACTTCTGCGTGCATTTCTGTCAGGTAATAAAGTCTACTTTTAAATTAGCGTAAATTGTACCCTTAGTTGTATTTCGTTCTTTGCACTGCATTAATATTGTGGGTCTCTGATTTCATTGTTTTTGTATTCTGACAGGGTGTCTGCGGCAATAATGTCCTTCTCATCACTGGGCAGGCTGGAGTGGGGAAATCTGTATGCAACTCTTTCTGTGCCCTGTATATTGTTAGGACTTATTTCATGTCCTGGGATAGCCAAACCTGACAAGTTAGATTACTAAGCATTACTTTTTTGTTGTGTGACTTGTGCAATGGTAATGTTTGATGCTGGATAATGTGGATTATAGTGTTTTTTTAAAGTCTTTTTTCTAATTTTTTTTCCCCCTTAAGGTATTGATTCTCATAATGTTGAGACTAACTGAATGGGGGCTGAATTCCTGCACTTTGCTTTTTAACGCTCTGCTTTATTTATTTATTGTTTTTGAGCGAAAAGCTCTGCTTTAAGGATAACAAAGGATCGGTTATGGTTTGCCTTAGGTAATTTGGCACAAGATTCATTGTTTCCGATCATTTAAAGCATATTTTTCAATTCACTTGTTGTTTATTTGATTACCACTCCACCACTATGCAGTATTGTATATTGAAATCTTAACTAACTTAAGATCATGTGTATTAAAAGGATCATTACCACTCAACCACTACGCGGTATTGTATATCCAAATCTTAACTAATTTAAGATCATGTGTATTAAAAGGATTGACTATTTCATTCTGAGCTGCCTGTTGCACTTGTGAATAGTTTTGGTGTTCTGAGCCTCTTGCGAGGATCAGGTGGTCCGGGTAGTCGGTGGTAATGGAACAAATGACGGGTTAATGCATGGTACACTTTAAACTATCGGGGGCAAACTGATTAGGGGCTAGTCAATGCCCATTCAGTGGAAAGAGTTGGGTATTATATCCCAAGAACACCACATTGACATCTAAGAATTTCTTTTCAATATGTAGGCTGCGATTCATGTAATTTCTTCTCACCTTGGAGCTATTCTGTGTGAATGGAGCACACCTACACCTGTAATTTGGCAAGAGCATCTACATAATTCTAGTTCAGGTTGGTCTAGCATATATGCTTTGAATTTGATAGTCAATTCCTTTCCTACTCTTGCTGAATTAAATCAGTTCTTTTTACTGTTAAATAGATGAGTTGGTCAACATTTGTATGTGCACCAGGCTTGCAGTCCAAAGGGAAATGAATGCATTGCATAATATTCATGTCAAATGATTTATAATACCCTCCTGATTGCGACTGCATAACTTCTAATTGATTTTCAGTGACACGTACACAATACACATCCAAGTTGGATGAATTTGAAGCTTATGTTGAAAGAATAAGGAAATATGGCTCATTGTCAGCTTATTTGAATGGGGAGTCAAAAGCACCCACCATAGTATTAATTGATGATCTTCCTGTGACAAATGGGAAAGCTGCTTTTGGACGACTACAAGATTGCTTGAACTTGTTGGTGCGCTCAACTCAGATACCCACAGTTATAGTGTTCACAGAGTATGGCAATGCTGATTCAGCAGACCATGATGCACAATGCTTGGAAAAAATTCAGCTATCTCTGCAGAGTGCTGGGGCCTGTAAGGTTACTTCTTTAGAAAGTTCCCCTCCTGTTTTTGATCTTTTTTTATGAGAGAGTACTTATTCTAAATTTAATATGATAAATTGTCAGATTGCATTCAATCCTATTACAGTGAATTCTATCAAGAAGGTACTTTTTAGAATATGCCAACTAGAACAGTGTGATGTGACTGCTGAACATGTTGATCTGATTGCTAAAGCTAGTGGAGGTGACATCAGGCATGCAATCACATCGTTGCAGTTCTTCTGTCTCAAACAGAATCAAGTGCATTCTTTGTCTCTATCAAGTAACTTTCTCAGCATATCAAAAGAGAAAGAAAAGAAGGCTGTCGCTTCAGATGATGGCTATTCCTTGCACTTTACCAGAGATGAGACCCTATCTTTATTTCATGCCTTGGGGAAATTTTTGCACAACAAAAGAGAGTCTGAAAGTGCAACCAAATATGGTGCGTTTTTATTTTAAAAAAAAAGAAGTTCAGAGAAATTAAAATTTCGTTTGTTGTCTTTCTTCCTGGAAAAGGACAAAACTAAGAGTTGGAGTTGAATGGTAGTAATTTAACTTTTAGTTCATCTTGTGTGGTAGAACATGATACATTTCTTATCCAAGAACGATTGGCAAGATTACCCTTAAAAATGGATGCACCGGAGAAGATTCTTTGTCATGCTCACGTGCAGCCTGGTCCTGTTGCTGATTTTCTTCACGAGAATGGTAATTTTTGTTAATACGATTCTAGAGGGCTCATGCATAATATGTGTATGGAAAAAGAAAGTTGTTTCCAGCGATAGATGTGTATTTTTGAAACAAAATCTTTGGAATTCTAATTTTCACCGTTAAATTTCTTCCAGTGCTAGATTTTATGAATGAGGAGGCAATTGATGATGCGTGGATAGTGTCTTCATATCTAGGCGACGCTGACATTCTTCTTGCTAAACTTCGAGGAATGGTGTCTAGGCATAATGAGGCGGAGGGTGTTCTACCATCAGCAGCTGCTTCTGTTGCTGTTCGTGGAGTATTATTTGGAAATTCTCATACACTATCCGCCAGGTTGTCTTTATATAGATGATTGTTAGAAGCTGGATTTTATCTCTCAATGGTGAAGTCTGAATATTAGGTTCTGCAGGTGGCATGCTATGCGGGGCCCAAAACTCTGGGGGATTGAGAGGGAATTATTATATAACAAGGTGTTCACTGCTTCTTCTAATCATATATTCTATTCTATCCTCCTAAAATGTTTTATTTTATATGTTATGAAACTAATTAGGAATAGATGCATGCATGCATATAATCATTTATTCCCACTTGAGAGGAAAAAGGAGTTGACAGAGCACGATGACGTCGTGTGATTCATGTAGCCGACCCCACCTAGTGGGATAAGGCTTGTTGTTTGTTTGTTTGTTTGAGAGGAAAAAGGACCGTGATACAAGTCCTAGACAGCATAACCAAACTCTTAGGACCTACACAGATGATTCTCGTTCTGCTAAGCTGAATTAGCTATGATACATTATTTTATCATGACTAGTTGCTGGAATATTTCCATTTTCAATTATTTTAGGAATCAGTTATCGAATAAGCAGACCATTATGACTGTTAGGGAGGTTGACCAACGTTCAATTCTGTTTCATGGGTTTGTTTAAGATATTCTAGGGATTTTCATATTTCATTACCCTTGTGATTTCTCTCTATAAATATCCTAGCCATTTCCTTTGCTAGGCAGGCTTTGAGAAATAAAAGTGTTACCTTGACTCAGTTGGAGATTCTCCTTTTGTTGGCTATGGAGAGTGTCTAGAGTGAGATTCTTGCTTCACTTATTCTTAATAGAAAGTTATTATTTTAATTCAGCTAAGAATGCACTTACCAGACTGAATCATACGGTTATGAATAATTTAACAGTTATATTTTCCCGATAAAAGCTTCATTTTTATTTTATTAACTTTTTCCTGTTCGAGTAACTTTTAAAGGTACCTTGAGCTAGTAATCTTCTCACTAGCAGATAGCAATGTTTGATCTTATGATTTCATTCTTAATAACCAAGCATAGCATGAAGCATTTTTCTGGCAATATAATAATAATGATAATGACATGAGACATTGGTTCAATTGGTTATCTGGCTTGTGAGTCTCAAGAATCAACAACTTGCAAATTGTCCATGTTCATTATGTTGATAACTTCGTTGTCCCTTAACATTTGACCTATGTCCTTGATCCCCTGTTTCAGAATAAGATGCTCAAGCAGCGAGTTGCAGAGTTTGAAGGATTGACTTCTTGTAATACATCAGTTATGGCCACAGAGTACATGCCTGTGTTAAAATGGCTTGGAAATAGGACGTGCGGTGAATATTGTGAATCTTCTCAGTCATCAGTGCATGACTTGGATATGGACGGTATTGATTTTGACCAAATGATTTTAAATGACCAAGAAAATGACGAGATAGAAGATTGGTAGAGATATATAAACATACAGGGGGCTCGTAAGTTCAATGTCTTTCATTGCTAAAAGAAGAGTCCTTTTTTTATTTAACACTTATCCCTGTTTATCTGTTATTGATCGAGGCACTTGTAAATTTATAAATATGGAAAATTTTGAGGTTGGAGCATGTCTGATGATGCAGGCTGGACTGGGAGCTGTGTAAATTTTGTTATCCCTGTACCGGTGACTAGTAAAGAATGTGCTTACGAGATGTTTTTCTTCCTTTGTGTGTGTGTGTGTGTGTGTGTGGTGTTTTTGCTAGGTATATTAGGGAGAAAAATAGGTAAGTTTATTATGGTATGCTCGATTTTTTTAAGACTGTTGTATTTGAAGTTATAATGCATTATTAACTTATGATGTGGGGGACAATAACTGAGGTTTGCAGTTAAAAAAAAAAAATTTAATTTCTAACTGCTATAAAGATTGAGATAACTATCATGATCAACGTACAGGAAACAAAGAATACAGTTGAATGAGATGTTAGATGATTGTATGGCTATTTCATTCAGTTGGAAGCATACTAATCAATTATTAATGAATTGCAACTAGATGAAAAGATATTTTTGAGAGTAGAATTTCAAAGATTGGTTGATATTTGCCTTGCATAAAATGAAAGGATTGATTATGAATATTGTAGTCTGATTCTATGTTTAGAATATGTTTGGCTTCACGTTGGTAATCATCAAAATCAATGGTTTTTGTGAAATGAAGTTGTTATATGTTTCGGCCACAATTGTTTTATTAATTTCAAACATGAAAATACGTTGTCTGATTTAACTTATTTCAAGTAACTTTGCACTGTAACGTATAAGTGATTTTTAGAAGTTAACCCAAACCACCGTTGACAATGCATTAGGCAAAAGTTTGCCCTAGCAATGGTTTGAGAATTCCTCTTCTATGAAATCTACACACTAAATCCCGTTTGGCACAGAGCTTTGAAAATAAAAAATAAGGATTATGATTAAGATTAAAAAAAATATTAAAAAAAAGCTTAGTATGAGTTCGGACAGATTGATATATGTGGAATTGAGAAATTTTACAGAGGAAGATGATATTTCCTAGTCTTACTTCCACGAGGTTGTTCAATCTCATATAACGTAATTTACTCATTGAATACTCTTTTAGTAGTTTTTCTTAATTTTAATTCCAATTCTTACCTCTCATCATATGATCCGATAGTGAAGTCCCGCACCTATCACACAGTTTTCGTCTTTTGAAATTTTGAAGTATGGCTGTAGGCATAAATACAAAGCATTCAGTAGTATTAAAGAAATCACAACCTTAACACAGACTTTTCACTCTGATTTCAGAATTTTCTAGTTTCCCTGCTTACACCAAACTGGTTCCTACCAAAAAATCTGAGTGAACTAGATCTCACTGCACTGGAGGCTGTAAATACAATATAAAAGCTCATATTTTTACTATGGCTAAAAGCAAGATGATTATCTGTACAAAACCAGATCATTTCTTCTTAAGGTAATATTCTCTTCACATCATGCTCTTGTTGAGTGATTTTAGCTTTGTTGTATACCGATTCGAAAACCTCAGTACATACACTTGAAAACCCCACGATCCCCTGAAACACATGTGGGAACCCCATCTGCAAGTTATTCAGAGTCATTGCCCTAGTCACACAGACTGACTTCTCATGCTTGTTCTTCTCTTCCTCTGCTCTTCCTTTCAAAGTCTCAACCTTTGCCCGCTTCTCCATGACAGGATCCTTGTTTCTCATCGATTCGGGCATGGAATATGGGCCATATTTGCACTCTAGCGACCGAAGCTGCACCACTTTCTTTTCGAGCTCTTTAAACACAGAATCTGATTTCTTCTTCTGTTTATGTTCCTCTGATTGTTGAGCTACGATAGCATGAATGACTGTCAGTAAGCTCTTGATCCCCTCAGATGTGACCTTATCCGGGATACGATCCACGGCGAGGTGCCATTCTTCACAGAGGGAGTATATCTTGGATTCCTCAGCAGTTTGGCTCAGTGGGCTTCGGCTGAACTGGAAAAGGCTGAGCCTCAGCCAACCTGTGAGGGACTGAATATAGTCTCTATGAGCCTTGAAGAGGTTACAAAAGGATTGGTGCCATTGTTGAACTTCAAGTTCAAGCTGGAGAGTTGCTTGCCTATGAATTTCACTAGTTGGTTGCTTTGATGGGATGGTATTGAGGTATTCCAGCTGCTGAACTATGTGCTTTTGTACTTGATGGCACTCATACATGTTTCTCCACATGCACATCAATCTGTCAAAAACGAAGGAGGCAACTTCGAGTTTAAATCTTCTTTTACCACATTAGTGAATCAGAGCTGGACATTATTTGACCAATAGAAATTCAAGAACGAAGAAGTTAAAGCAAGAACTACAAAAGAAAAAAGTAACACACAAACATTTCACACGAGGTTCTCATATTTGGGGACCATAACTTCCAATTGATAGTGGAAAATACATCAGAGAGAGGATTTTGAAGAAAAAGAAGAGACATAGGAACTGAAACTAAGGACACCCATTTTATCATACATGTGGTCAGCACTGTTCTAATTCAAAAAAGTCAAAAGCAATGTCCATTTTCTATTGAGGCACCCAGAATCACCAAATACCCCTAAACTGATGCAACCCCTGCTGCTCTAAACATCAATAGCTACTACGCAGTAAAATATGTTATCTGGCTTTATCGTCTTACCAAGAAAATCAAGCTAATAGCAATCTTGTAAATTATCTTTATTAATATTCACTTCCTCTCAATCTAAACAAGACAACAGTGTTTGAGTTCAACTCAACTTGCCCTTTTCCTTTGAAGAGTAAACTAATAATGTTCTAGGGTTTGAAAGGTGTTAGGTGGGCAAGGTTATAGTGAGGATGAAGGAGATAGCACACTGCATTAAATCTTTCAAGTGCTTTTCTCTTGAAGATAGTATTGTAGGTTTTAGGTTTCAGTCTCAATTTTTGGAATGACGTAACGTTTCTTGTCTGAGGTCATAATTCATTTTTACCCAAATAAAAAAAAAAAAATTGACAATCCACGACAATGACTGGAATTCACAACCCTATTCCCTATTAATAGGATATCATTAATTTGGCGGGTGAAATTTCCAATATTACCCTAGAATGTTAACCCTTTTAAAGAAAAAATGAATAGGCAAATGTTCAACCCTTAACTCAAATTCCTAATGTTTAACTCAGTACAACTCAATCCCTCAAATTTTAGGCATTTAATCTGTTGGTCACTACCTGATGACTCGCAGGACTAGATGCTCTTCAAATGAAAGAATTACTATAAGGTCTCAAAGAAAGAGTATAATCACCAAAAAGTCCCACGACAAAGCAGCATGCAATGACAGGTTGCAATGCAGGAAAAGACAATGAGTTCATACTGCTCACTTATTATTGGTACTTTTTGGTGATTACATTTTTTTCCTTGGGATTTCATAGTAATTCTCCCTCGTCAAATTCCTTCGAGCCAAGGAACTAAGTAAAATGGGAATGTCCCCAGAGATGCAGTACACAGAAAGATAAGAGAAGACTTACGCTTTCACAAGCTCAAGAAGCTGTGGATACAGCTCAGTCTCCCTTAACTTGATAATCTCAGCTGATGTACTCTCAATAGCCTGAGAGGCAACCATCATCTGTGACTCCAATTTCTCTACTTCTTTCTTCGTCTTCTCTGTCTTCACATAGTCTGCCCTCTTCATCTCTAACTTCCTTAGCACCGACGCCTTCTTCTCATGCTCCATCTTTACGGTCTCAGCATTCTAAAACCAACGAAAAGGCAGTACAATACATAACTATGAGTACACACACACACACAGAGATTGATTACATACAGTACAATTCACAGGTTAAAAGTTTCAGACGATGAAACGTCTTGAGGACGAATCAAGCGAGACCCACATCAAAATTTATGCCTAAAAAAGAGAAATCATTTGCTTTCGCTCTTTTTCACCCTTTTCTTTTTGTCTTACAATAATATTCTAAAGAAGATGTGAAAAGAAGCTTATACCTTGACCTCTTGGTATAATCTTTTCTCCCATGCATATAACCTCTCCACTGTGGAACAGTGACTACCAGTTCCCACATCTTTAGCCACAAAATTACTAATCGACATTTCCTGACTGAACTTCCCGAATCCATTTGGTTTTGGATTCGAACCCCATGCCCACAACGAAGGACTCAAACCCCATCCGTAGTTGTACACTTTACCTGCCATTAACAAAAATAAACCCAAACTCGAACCTTTAGTAAGTTTAAATTAATGCAAGGGAGAAAAGATTAAATATACAGTTCAATTCAAGTTCAAATCTCTCTAATAATTGATGTGTTCATCTGCATAGAATATGGAGTAGTGTTTGTTCCTAATCAATCGCAGAATCAAAGGTGCACAGAGGGAAAACAAGTAAAGCAAACCCATTATTTGGTTTATGAAGCTCACTTTCTTTACTGTGATTAGAAAAGCCGGAGGTTGGAACTTCTAAGAGCATAGAGACTTGGCCACCAGCTTCAGCAGCTTTGAGGAAGTAGTCGTCAAGTTCTTTTATAATCTCAACGAGATCTTTGGTATTCCTTGACACTACCATCGCAAGGTCACTACTTTGAGTCTCCTTGGAAAACCCACTCACCACAGACGGCGGCGCAGTCACATTCGCTGCTCCCATCGTCGTCACGACAATTTCCGACCCTGTGGTCGTCGTCGCTTCCCATTCCTCCTCCGTCACTGACCTCGACGAGGCCGGAGCTGGTGGCACGAATGGGTCCCAGAAATCCCAAGAGGAAGACGACACCGGCGGCGGCGGGGGAGGAGGAGGTGGCGGCGGCGGTAGAGCAGGAGAGGCCGTCATTGACGTCCACGTGTCAGAACTCGGACTCATTGGAGGTAAAGGAGGCGGCATCGCCACTGGAGTCCGCTGTGGCGGCAACGGTCGGATCGGCTCCGGCTCCGGTGGAAGATGGTGCTGGAGTTGGAGGTTGTGGTGGTGGTGAACGGTCGTCTCTGCATTGGCGAACTGAAGCAGAGCAGATCCTGTAGAACGAAGGGAGCGTATATACATAACATGCGAAGCAGAAAAGGCATGCCTCGCTAGAACAAACTGCTTCATGTATCGCTTCCTCGCCTTACAACGCGACACCATTTCTTCTCTTTCTATACTGGAATGGCAGCAACCCATTCTTGCGTTTCTCTCTCTTCTTCTTCCTCCTCAGATCAACCGATTTTGCAGTAAAATGAAACCAAGCAAGCCTATGAAGAAGAATAACAAAGCTCGCTTCTTTTTGTTTCTCTTCTCTGTGCGCTAAAATAGTGGCTTCTTTGGTTCATTCTGCAAAAGTGGGCTAATGCGTCTCGAACTCTGGTCAGCAAAGTTACTTTCTTTTGGGTCTAAAAGAAAGCTTCACTTAAATCAGTGATCTCTCTCTCTCTCTCTCTCTCTCTCTATCTCTGGGTTTAAAGTCAAGTATTCAACTTAGGTCTGAGATATTTTCTGGGTGTTCGAAATTTTGAAGGAGAAACAGAAACTGGTTTCAGTTGAATCTGAAGCAATGGAAATCCAGAAAGAGGATAGAGTATGGTTTGGCAGAGAGGGGAAGAGGAACTAAAAAAGGAAGCGTTGGTACTGTTTTGTTTGAGAGAGGTACCAAACGGACAAGCAGCTTTGGGAAGAGAGCCTGCGATTGCATTTGCAGCAGAAATAGCCAGTAATTTTATACATTAAAAAGTTGGTTCACGAAAATGCCATCATGTTACAGCTGTTATTAGTGTTTTGTTGTGGGTTGGCTAATTAATTTTAACTTTTTAAGCTATAAAATTGCTGAAAAACTTGAAAATTAATATTTTTTACTTTACGTTACTTTAAAAACGTTTGTCTAAAACAAGATATTTATTAATATATTTTGATATTTTAATTTTAAAATGTATATTATATATATTTAATTCATGTGCACGTATCCTACAGATCTAAAAATTGTAGCATTATGCATTAGTGAATTGTATTTTATACATTTTTATCTTATTACAAGTCATTTTTAAGATGTCTTAAAATAAAAAAAATTTAAATTTTATTAATCCTACATTTAAATTTTAACAAATTTCTAACTTTATCCATATTTAAAATATATACTTTTCAAAAAAAATAATATATACAATATAAAATAATACATTCATATTAAAAATTTAATAAGGTAATTTATAAATATGATAAAAAAAACTCTTATCTCTTTTTTTAATTAAAGAGGAGGCATTAACAACCTGAGATTATAACTATGATTAAACCCGCCACGAAGTGTAAATGTCATTAGGCCACAAGACATTTAGCAAAAAAGAAAATCTTATTTTTATGTCTTTTAAATAGAATAAAAAAAAGGGGAAATCACAAATAAAGACCCTTGAATTAGCAAAATCACTCAATGGTCACCTGAATTTGCTAAATTATCATGAGGGACCCGGTCTCAAATGGCAAATAGCAAATGTTGGTGAAAAGACGAAATTGCCCCTCAGTGATTTGAACCTGCTGAACCCGCGGCACGTAGTCCCCCCACTATCGACAACTTCCCACTGTTCTCTACATTCTCCCTATTGTCTCCATTTTCGCGCACCTGCGTACTGCCATTTTGCCGTAAGAGTAGTGTGGAGAGGAGTGTTGAGACGGTGAAGAGCATATTTGCTGTGACAAAGGTGAACAAAGCAGTGGTTTATCGACATTGTGGAAGGGTTCAGAGAAGTCGAAGGCATCGCTGAATAGTGCGGCAGCAATCGCGTTAGGTGATCAGAGTTAGCAGCTACGTTGGGCGACTGATTGTAGTAAGTTTGTTGGCTAATTTTGTTTGGATTGGTTGCTGCAAGAATGTGCGAATGATTGGTGAGAGTAAAAGAGTTTAGGGTAGGAAAGTAGAAGTACCCAAATTTTGATTGAGTGATGAAGAATGTTATTTAACAGAAAAATATAGGTTTTTTCTGTTAAATAACCTATGGGAATGGTATTTATGTGGGGAGGGAATGACAATATCAGTTTCGTAGATGACAATAATAGTAGGGAAAATAACGACATAGGATATAGTCAAGGGTAAATTTAATTGAAGAGGTACTAAGTGTGTTTTGTTATAAATGAGAAGGTGGACGGTGGGATTTGATAAGTTCTGTAACAAAAATGATAATTTAAGAATAGGAAATGACAAGTTGATTAATTGGGAATAAGAAGATGTCAATGCGAAACTGACAAGTTGGTAATGGGAAATAACAAGGTTATAACAGTGAATGACAAGATTTGTATGCGAAGTAAGAATTTGATAATAGGAAATGACTTGTTTGAATAACAAAGCTGAGTATGACAATAAGACAAGTTTATCATTTCAAATGACAAGTTAAACTACTAGTGTATGATCAGAAATAACAATTATGATAAGTATGTGGGAATAACAAGTTGAGCTTAAAGAATTGACAACTTTTGTAGAGAGAATAACAAGTTTATCATAGGCGTTTGATTGACAGAATGAGTATTGACAGAATTGTTGTTAGTCAGTTAATAAGTTGTGTTAGTGAACTATTGTATGTTTAATATTTTGCAGGAAAAAGGACATGGCATCTGAGGGAGCCTCCAGATCAAAGCCGGCACACAATGGCTGGTTGCTATTCAGAAGGGAGTATTTGGCAACATTAGGTGATAGTGATATCAGAGGCAAACAAAAAAGAGACGCTGTGTCAAAGGCATGGAGAGCTTTGTCTGATGAGGAGAGGAAGAGGTACACAGAGGAGGCGAAGAAAAGAAGGCCAGAAAAGATTGAAGAGGAGAAGAAAAAGAAATATGTACCATCATTTTTAACCCGAGTGTCCTTGAAAGGTTTTAAGAAATTACTGCACTTTGTGAATAATAATGATGAGTTAAGGGATAGGGTGGAGAGGATAGGATTTGGAAGCTTGTTGAAGGTTGGATTGAAGAGACTTCCCCGCGATCTCCTTGTGACTATGCTAAGATCATATGACCCACCAACACATCAATTTACAATACGGGGGAAAACTGAGGAAATAGGAGCAAAACATGTTGACAAGCTCCTAGGAATACGCCATGGTGGGGAGAAGATTAAAATTGAAGTTTCGGAGGATGATGAAATGTACAAGAACTTGAAGAATCAGTATCGGAGAGTGCCATTCAGCAAAATACTAGATGACATTATTTCTGGGGAGGAAGATCACAGATTTGAATTCTTGTTTGTCCTATACACGCTGGGTACCTTTCTATGTCCGTCATCTAGCTCAGAAGTGAGTGAGCGGCTAGTGAGAGTCATGCGTTCCACGATGGATGACTTTGGAAAGTATGATTGGGCAACACATGTTATGGAGGACCTATGGAAAGAAATGGCTGACTTTGTGAAGCTGTATAGACAGGGTAATGATGGGCAGGGGAGCAGTACTGTTGGTGGCTGCGTATACTTGCTTTTGGTATGACTATTTTGTTTCTCACTGTGCAATACTTTATTGGCAATATGAACAATGTAATTGGTGATGATATGTGGTGTTGCAGCTTTTTTTCGGTGAGCATTTTAACCTTATTCAAGGTTCACAGCGAGGCTCCACCAGTGCTATCCAATACTGGACAGATGAGAAGATCAAAGAATTGGCCAATACTGAGAGGAAGAGCGTTAGGGGGCTGTTGTATGGTGAGAAAGGGAGTGATGTTGTGTTTGGCAAAGACGAGAGGATAAATGTTGATTCTCTGGACCCGGTATGTATATCTTTGGTAGAGTGATATTCTTGGTGAACTTCTTGTTTGTGATAGTTACGTTGTCATTTGATAAATTGACTTGGTATATATAAAACTTATGTTGTGATTAGGTTTAGTGAAGTTGTCATTTGTTATAGTTGTCATTGTTACTTGATAAACTTAACCTGTTAAAAACGGTACCAAAGTTGTGATTGGGTAATGTGAACTTGTCATTCGGTAAAGTTCAGGTTTGGGTTGTTATTTGATAAAGTTGTTATTGATTATGCCTGAGTTGTGATGGGATCAAGTGAACCTGTCATTTGTTACAATGTAGTTGTTATTTGATGTATCGAAGTTGCTAATTATAATTTATTAGTTGTGATTGGCTAAACTGAACTAGTCATTTGATATAGTAAAGTTGTTATCTGACATACCAAAGTTGTTATTTATACTACTGATGAACTTGTTATTCGCAATAGGGAGAGGTTGTAATTTGTTACAGTGTAGTAAGCTTGTAATTTCATATACTGAAGTTGTTATTTATAATATTTAACTTGTCATTGGGTAAAGTGAGCTTGTCATCTGCAATAGTGAGATCATGATGTGGTATAATTATGTTGCTAGTAAATTGATAAACGCCATTGTCATGCAGGAGCTGAAGCAGTTGCGTGCACGATTAATGAAGAGGATAGAAGAAAGCCATCAGAGGCTGATGAATATGGTAGATGAGGAGCTGTTGAAGGTGCACATTCCAAGAGAGGCAGATGGGAAGAGAAAAGGAAAGGCTCCTGCTGAGACACTCGCATCAATTGTTAGTGGGTCTGAAGATGACGATGAAGAGGAGAGACAGCATGCTGGTGAGACTAGTGAAGCTGTGCAGAAGAATGATGGAGGGAGTGATGGTGAGAGTAGTGAGGAGAAGGAGAAAGATGACGAGGGGAGTGATGATGAGACAAGAGAGGAGGAGGAGGAGGACAAGGAGAAAGGTGACAGGGGGAGTGATGATGGGACAAGTGAGGAGGAAGGCAAGGAAAAGGATGATGGAGAGAATGATGAAGATAGTCAGGACAAGGATGAGGGACAGAGTGCACAGAAGGACAATGATGAAATGGAGGGTGACATACCCACGCCTACTACCCCCATAAACCTGTCATCTAATGTTGAAGGTGATGATGCGGAGGGTGACAGAGCCGTCACTATATCCCCCCTAGCAATTGTCAAATATGTTGACCCTGTTGAGAGGCAAACCCCCATCAGGGTGGAACCTTTGACAGCAGCTGAAGGTGTGCAGGCACAACAAGTAAGGAGATCTAGCAGGGTTCGCTTCAACAAAATTAAGTCTCCTTGGTTGGAGTTGAAGGCACAAACAAGGTTGAAGAGGCCTGCAGAGGATAAAGACATTTTCTTCACCATTGTCAGCCGAAGTGTGAAAGGTGATGAAGGCGACTAGTAAGTATTGTGATACTCAGCTTTTGTGATGGGGTTTTGTTATCACTTGTTAACATAACCCATATGCTAACTCACTTCAACCATTGTCAGTCCTTTGATTAAAATGTATGATGAAGATATTACCCGACGCTTGCTGCATTCTCTTGGGGGAAATAACAGAGTTAGTAACAGGGTCATGTCATTAGTTTGTAAGGCCGTGGTGGATGAGCAACAGGCTGTGGAAGGGCGTGTAAGGAGGCATATTTTTGATGCGGACTTCATGGTGAGGTTTCTTCATTAGTTTGTGAAATGATAAGTTTGTATATGAAAATTACAAGTCCTCAAAGGCAAATGACAAGTGTAGTATATAAAGTAACAACACTGTTAAGGCAAATAACCGTCTAAAGAAACTAATTGCAAACTGACAAAATCAATTTGTGTTCTTTATTAGGAGTTAATGATCCGTGACCCAGCTCGGTGGGACCCTAACTACCATGCACGACAAATAATTCCTCAATTTGTCGGGTACAACATAGGTGACTGTGACTTGGTTATGGGTCCTGCACTTGTTGGTGAGCACTGGTTTTGCTTTGCCCTTGAACCCAACACCATGAAGTTCTATGTCCTGGATTCCATGCGAGGAACTGTTCAGTCTAAGAAGACCACAACTAAGAAGAAGCAAGCAGTCACCTATGACCCTCAGGAAATGGCCATAGCAGGATGTGTAAGAATCACCTGGGCATATTACATTGTATTATTATTGTCTGAAATTATAGTGATGTTGATGAATATCTGATATATGTGTAGAGAGAAAGGTTCCATGACATTATTGGCATGGTTAGGCCAGATTTGACTGAGAAAATGCCAAATTTGGAAATTGTGCGGCCTGATGTACCTCAACAGAGTAATTTGTGAGTATACATACACTGCACATGTAATTTGCTGATTTCCTATATTTATTCTCGAATTGTTAAACTGTCATGGTGGTGTTGTTCCTAGGAGGGACTGTGGGGTGCATGTCCTAATATGGCTCAGCAGATGGAAACCCAATCTTCCACTAGAATACACCCAGGTGATGTGGTTTGCTTAATTGTTGTGACTGGTAAAGGGGCAAAGTAAGATTAACTTGCTGTTGAATCTGTTTTGCAGGGAGATGTGGCAGCTTTTCGGCGTGATCTAATGTGGTGGCTGGTGAACCATGATAACAATGAATGCCGTGAGGATGCGCTGAATCTTATTCCACATCCACAGAAGGGGCGAACGTCCAAAAGGAGGAGAAAGTCCCTATAGAAAAAGAATTTGGGCCATGAAGGACATTGACTGTAGATAATGTTACTGCGTTATCATTATGTGTAGTGAACTTATTGTCTGGCCTAACTGCTACCCAGTTATGACAATTAGTAATGGTGAAATGACATTTTTATTGACATCATTGAAATTGTGTTCAAGTGATGCGATTTCCACTTGTCTTTAACGTATGACAACATCAATATGCCAATTAACAAGTCCATTAAGCAATATATGAAGAACCTTTTTTTTATGAAATGACACTATTTCCACTTTTGTTTAACATCTGACAACTTCAGTATGCTAAATAACAACTCCGGTTAAGCGATACATGAAGTTCAATTTTTTCGAATGAAGTTACAGTATTTCTACTATTGTTTGACGAGTGACAACTTCACTTTGCGAAATAACAACTTCGGAAGTGGAAGCGGCGAAGTTCATTTTTTCCCTGTTTAAATGACATCCTTTCCACTTTTGTTTACCCAGTGACAACTTCACTTTGCGAAATAACAACTTCGGAAGTGGAATCGGCGAAGTTCATTTTTTTCCTATTTAAATGACAGTCTTTCCACTTTTGTTTACCCAGTGACAACTTCACTTTTAGAAATAACAACTTCGGAAGTGGAAGCGGCGAAGTTCATTTTTTTCCTGTTTAAATGACAGCCTTTCCACTTTTGTTTACCCAGTGACAACTTCACTTTTCGAAATAACAACTTCGGAAGTGGAATCGGCGAAGTTCATTTTTTTCCTCTTTAAATGACAGGCTTTCCACTTTTGTTTACCCAGTGACAACTTCACTTTGCGAAATAACAACTTCGGGAGTGGAAGCGGCGAAGTTCATTTTTTTCCTGTTTAAATGATAGCCTTTCCACTTTTGTTTACCCAGTGACAACTTCACTTTGCGAAATAACAACTTCGGAAGTGGAAGCGGCGAAGTTCATTTTTTTCCTGTTTAAATGACAGTCTTTCCACTTTTGTTTACCCAGTGACAACTTCACTTTGCGAAATAACAACTTCGGAAGTGGAAGCGGCGAAGTTCATTTTTTTCCTGTTTAAATGACAGTCTTTCCACTTTTTTTACCCAGTGACAACTTCACTTTGCGAAATAACAAGTTTTGTTAACCAATTGGCAATATCAGTATGCCAAATAACCACAAAGCACAGGTGGTTTGACAGCAACCTCTATTTGCTGATATAACAAGTAAGCAGTCTGCATTTACAAATCAAGCAAGGGAGTTTACAGCAATACTAAGTCAAATAACCACAAAGCACATGTGGTTTGACAGCAACCTCTATTTGCTGATATAACAAGTAAGCAGTCTGCATTTACAATACAAGCAAGGGAGTTTACAGCAATACTAAGTCAAATAACCACAAAGCACATGTGGTTTGACAGCAACCTCTATTTGCTGATATAACAAGTAAGCAGTCTGCATTTACAATACAAGCAAGGGAATTTACAGCAATACAATGTCATTTAGCAAAAAGTAAGAGGTCCGTTTACAACAACCAGATTTTGCAATAGTCAATAACAAAAAGACATTCACAACGTCGTTGACTTCTTTTTTCCTTGTCAGCAAACATATTACTTGCAAAAATAGCTGTGTAGCTATGCAACTAGCAACACCCTTCTCCCAAAAAAATTAAGAAGAGTGGAGCGTATATACACCAAAAAATTAGTTGTCGCTTGTAGAAATGAACTTCAAAATGGGTTGGGATTTTTGCAACTCCTCCTTGTGTGTCCAGGTTGGTGGCATCTGGTGCAATGGTAGACTTTTTTGTTCTGGAATTGTGATTCCTGCCGTTTAGTCCTTGGTCTTCCAGGAGGCCTACTTGTATTTGGTGGTAAAAGCAAGGTTTGTTCAACAAGATTCTCAAACCTATAGTCATTTGGGTTAGGCATATCGATTGTTACCACTGGAACCATGCTCCTGCCATATATTTTCTCCTGTGCTGAAATTTTGTAACAATCTTCAACATATTCATATACATTTCCCCCACAGTCTTAATGGCTGCACAAGCATGGCAGCATGGAATTCCTGACATTTGCCAACCAAGACAACTACATTGGTGTAGACCAAGGTCTACTCTTTGATCTCCACGAGATGTATGTACACACAGTCTTCCGCCTCCATAATTGTCACACTCATATACCTACTGAAATACACATTCTCCAGAACCTTTGCCTCGGTTTTTGGCCCAACACAATTCCTCCACTTACTCATACACATATATGATGCATGCATCTTCCTTGCTACTTTCTCCCGATGCTCATGGATCATTTGCGCCACATTATGCTTTCTCTCCTTCACCATCCAAGAATTGAAAGACTCAGCTATATTGGTTGTTATATTGTCCCATCTTTTAAATGGAAACTTGCTCATTGCCCACCTATTCACATCACCTTGATTGATAACCCAATCATGTAACTCAGGAGACATAGTTCTCAGCTCTGCCATTGCATTATCAAAGTCACTATCAACCCTTGCATAAGCAACTCTATCAAGAACCTTTAATGCATCTTCTTTTGACCATTGGCTTGTCCTTTTACCTCTGTTTACTTTTACTTGTTCAGCGCTGAAGTTTTCCTTCACATGCCTATAACAATACGCATGTCTTTCACCTCCAAATATTGCTTGGACAGCTCCTATTATGGCATTGTGTCGGTCTGACACAATTGTCACCTGCACCGAACCAACAATTTCTTTAATTTTGAACAGAAACCAAGTCCAGTCATCAAGGTTCTCTGATTTCACCACTGCTATTGCAAAAGGCAACAAGTCATTATCTGCATCATATCCCGACGCTGAGAGTAGTGTCCCCTTATATGGACCACTTAAATGAGTTCCATCAACATATAATATAGCCCTTGCACCACTCAAAAAACCCTCAATACACGAACCATATGCAATGAAAACCCGCTCAAATGTATTACCAATGGAAGCCCATTCAGCAACTGTTTTATCATCAGTTTCCTTTAATCTTTGGCATATCCATGGTATGAACATATAGGATTCTTCCGGTTTCCCATGTATGTGTTCCATGGCCTTTTCCTTTGCTCTGTAAGCTTGAGCATATGTTAGCCTCACACCATATTCCCTTTCCAGTGTCTTCCTTATTTCAGTAGGACGCTTTTCGGTGTGGTTCCTTATCTCCTCAAGTATTATTGATGACGTCAACGCAGCATTGCCAGCAAAAGTGACATCTAGGTTATCTTGCGCTGAATGAATGTGTTCATTAACGAATGTGGTCACGCGTAATAAAAGAGTATCCCTCCCAACAGCATTTGCACAAATCTTCCATGGACACCCTTCCACTTTACACCTCACATTCATCTTCTCCCTACTGTTTCTCACATATGTCGTTGCAAACTTCTGTGCAATACTAAACCTGTACACAGCCTCCCTAAAAGCTTGGGCATGTGGAATATATTGCCCCACCCCTGCAAAAACTCCAACCCATTTCATGCAATTCAAATTACCCCTCAATGTCCCTTCACTCCCTGAACCGTCACTGAAGTTTGTCTGACTTAAACCCCCTCCTTCATACGTTAGGCATTCAGCACCATAGTCAACAATGAGTGGTTCATAGTTATCACCAAGGTTCACCACACCTTCAGTCATTTCTCCCGACAGCCCAAACAAATTCTCACCCCTACACCCATAATAACAACGTTCGAATAGAAATTAGCAACAACACATTAGCAAATAACAACATTCTACTGTAACAAAGTTAGCATAATAACAAGATTTGTATGGGAAATATCAACAATGCATTATAAAATAACAACTTACTACTGTAACAAACTAAGCAATATAACAACATTTGAATGGAAATTAGTAACAACTCATTACCAAATTACAACTTCCAATCGCAACTTCATTACCTTAATTACAAGATTTATATCAAAATTAACAACAATTCATTACCAAATAACAACTTTCTACTGCTGCGCAGTGCACATGATAACAACATTTCTTTGGGTATTAACAATAATCCATTACCGAACAATAACTATCAACTGCAAAACTTTAACCACTTACATTTCTCCATCATTCACTGCTCCACCTTCCTTCTGGTTCCCTTTCGCTGCTACATACAAATGAGCACTGCTATCGTTATATCTAAACATATTGCAAATATCACCTTCATCATAAAGATCAACCAGTGTGCCCTCAGCAAACTTAACCGTGTACTTAATTTCGCACCCTTTAGCATCATTGTGTACCAACTGTGATATTGTTCCTCTTAATTCCTCCAGTGTTATCCCTTCTTTTATGCTGCTTGCTCTCACACTCCCTCCCCCGTATTTAACTTCACCTTCACTGTTTCTTTCAAAATACCCACCAACATGGAAAAAACAAAACAATTCCTTCCAACAGCTTGACCCATTGTAACAGTTCATTTTGTCATCCTAACCTGGAACAACAATTTACATATAAAAAATATATTAGCTTCACTATACTTTTATTCAATCAAATTTGCATTTACAAATCAAGACCAACTAACTCTTCTCTTCCCCACTTGACATTAGGGTTTTACAAGTTGGACATTCTAAATGACAAGATCTTTACTCCTCTCCCCCCACTGCACCACCGTTAACTTCATACTCAGACTACTAATTATTACCTCCTTCCATTTCCCCTCCTCCACTCTCCCATTCGTGATATTCCTAACAGAGATCAGTGGCAACCTGCGTCATGAAAATCACAGGTCAACAATCTGACTACAAAGACTAATATTTTGAATCTCAACCCAACCGAACCCTCCTTAAACAGTATTATTCCATGATCAACTCCACCGCTCACTCCCTCCATACCTATCACCCAACAATCCACAATGCCACTCACCACATTCAAGAACAACATCACATTCCTCGGTCTTACAGGGTAGAGAAGAAGAAGAGTATACTTAGAAACATTACAAGCATTACTTACTTGATTCTCAACCATGTGCACCACCAATCTTCTCCTCCAAGCTCTCCACGATCACTTTGTTTGTCTCAGCCTTCATTAATGAATCAGATTGACTGAGGGGCAATTTCGTCTTTTCACCAACATTTGCTATTTGCCATTTGAGACCGGGTCCCTCATGATAATTTAGCAAATTCAGGTGACCATTGAGTGATTTTACTAATTCGAGGGTCTTTATTTGTGATTTCCCCTAAAAAAAAGTATGCTTATTAGGTTTTAAGTAAATTTGAGGAAATCATTTATAGTCCCGATGACTTCTTAAAATTCAAAATAAATGCCTAAATTTATATTTTTCTTAATTACGAATGCCTTGGTATTATCATTGTCTGAATAGATTCCTTGAAGTATTCAAGAACCACCTTAGTTAGATGAATTTCATCTAGCTATCACCATGCTTTTGCAAGCAGTGTATATAATTTGCCGCAGATCTCCTATTAACCGCTGCATGAAAGTAAGTAGTACTCCTTTTCTCTTCAACATTCTAACAATCTTTAGCTCGTTCATCCCAAAAATTACCTTCACAATCATAAAAGAATTCGAATTAATATTTGGCATTCAAAAAAGAGAATATTTGATTGTTAGTTGCTCTAATAATAAGATCAAAGTCATTTGAGATATGTTGCGGATTACATCTAATTTGAGCTATTCTATGAGCCAGATTTTCTTTGCTGATTTTATTCTAAATAATTAAAGAAGACAAGGTGATACTCAATTTATCATGAACCTTGAAAGCAAGGGATCCATTTGTATTCTGTGACCAGTAATCGTGAATAACACATGAGGATTATGGGAAGTTGGTCCAAAATTTTATTAAGACTTCCTTGCTCTTCTTTTAATTATTTGACATTTGGTAGAGAAAAATAATGGATTATGATCCGAGGTTGCTAGAGGTAGAGTGTTGACAAAGGAAGAGGGGAAAACATTTGGCCAATAAATATTGCAAAAGACCATGTCAATTTTCTCCACAATTTTTGCTCCTCCTTTTCTACTATTCTTCCGGGCCAATGCGGGACCATGTTCAGTAGTATGGATCATTTAAGCAACTCAAGAAGTTTTCAATTCCAATAAACGAGCCTATATCAACCGATTTATCATCCTTGCTCAGAATTTGATTAAAATCACATATAAGCATATAAGGAGAACTTATGTTCAAGTTGGTCATTTTGATCCAATCCCAGAGCACATATTTTTGTTTTCTATTATAAAATAATGTTAGCCAGCTCAAAAATTTAATAAAAACTATTATTTTTTTATATTTTAAAAATGTTTTATTCTTTCAAGTTTATTCTTTATTAATTACAATTGCCCATCTTAAAATTTAATCTCAATTTTAATTATTCAGGATATTTTAAAAAAAATATTAAACACTATAAAATTATAAAATAATACTCCTCCGACCTTAAATATAAGACCTGCTTTGTAGTACAATTTATACTACACATTAGGTTTTATTTAGAACCGGACCTTATAAAAATTGGCCTTCTGGGAAGTTCAATTTCAAATATTCTCTTAGAAATTGAAATTAATGTAAATTGGAATTTCAATGTTTTTACTTGATCAGATGTGGTGTTTTATTAAAAGGTTAGCAAAATTAGTAATGAAAAAGGTTTAGGGTTTATTACGTAGTTTTGTATCCAAATAAATATTATAATATCAGGTGAATCTTAACCTTTGAATTTTTTTATAGGTTACCAGATTCGGATGTTTTATTAATTTTCTTTTCGTAAAAAATAGATTGGGTCACTTTCATGTGTCATCAACTCATCATGTCATGTGGGTCTCACTTCGTGAACCAACTTGCAAAGTAGGACAGATCCAAACGGGGACTGCCAGATCAGCTGCAGTACGGATCAATATGGCCCACTTCAGGGTATTTTTGTAATTTTGGTTTCAACTCCTATTTATAATTTTTTCCCTAACATATCCACACTGATAATTAACATACCCAATTTTTAATATTTATAAATTAATTATTTGATTCAAATATTTAGAATTTTTTTTTTTTAAAAGTTTAAGATTGAGAACGGGGACTAGTATAAGGATTAGATGTAAGTTACAGCGAGGCAAATTACCAACCGATTCTAACAGTTGAAGGTAATTGTACATCTTCTGGTTAAAAAAAAAAAAAAAAGGGGGTAATTTTTTTATACAACGGAATTAAAAAAAAAGGTAATTGTTCACATTAAAATTTTCATACTCTTCCTGTCTTTAATATAGGACTTAGTTATTAAATTAATTTTGATCCTAAATATAATATCTATTTATCATATTTATTAATTTTTTTCTAAATTACTCCTATAGATACTCCCTCAATCATAATTAAATAAAAGAAGGAGAAAGGATATTAAGGAAAATGATTATGGTGTTTAGGAAAAAAAGTTATCATATTTCTTATAATTAATTAACTTATCTAATTTTCTTAATTTAATCAAATTAGTTAAATATATTTTATATTAAGAATAGGAGACATATAATAAAAAGCAAGTCTCTAGGATACCATAACTTAGTTGGCTGATAATTATGAATTTTGCATTGTGGACAACAATGCCGCAACTAAAAAAATTATTACAAAAATAAAAGATGTCTTGGTGTTTGGATGAAAACAAATTATAATTTTAAGAGTGATTTTACATACACGAATTATGAAAAAAAATTTCTCTCAAATTGCATGAAAACATTTATTATAAATGTTTTTGGGGAAAACCAAACACCCTTCCTAATTTTCTAATTGTTTTCATGTGTTACCTACTCATGTCAATTTATGATTTATAACTTATAAATTAGTGAAAAATATTAAAAAGTTTACTAAATAGTAAGATTGATATTGATGATGCGTATTGATATAAAATAAGCTTTGGATATTACTACTTCTAAGTCTCTCTATAAAAAATAAATAATAATTGAATATTAAGATCTTACCTATAATCTATTCCTTATAAATATATTGAGAGATATTATTTTATTAACATATCAGAATCTTACAGTTCTGGCGAAAACAAAAAGAGAAAGAAAGAAAAGGAATCTTACAGTTTGTTGCAAACGAAGAATAATACGATTTGATCAATAATATAAATGGAATTGTATAAAAAATATCAACGAAAACAAGATGAGCCTTTTAAATGTCAAATCAATATTCATAAATCCTAACAGATTCATAGGAAGTAACATTTTAGCAAAATGATTCAAGTGAATGTTTGGTTCATTCAGCTCAAAAAAAAAATGTTTGGTTTAATTTATTTTAAATAATTTATTATACAACATAGGGTTAATTAATCTGTAAGTCCTTATAGTTTAACCAATTTGAATCAGGTCCTTATAGTTTTTTTCTTTTTATTAGGTCCTTATTCTTTCACATGTTTTTAATTAGGTCCTTACATTTATTTTTCTTTTTATAAAATCCTTATAATTTTCTTAAATTCCTAATCAGGTCCATGTTGTTTTAATTTTTATTTATTAGTTAAATATAAACTTAATTAATTAGATTACTGAAATATAAAATATTAATAATTAAATTAAATTAATATAAGTAATATAATTAATTAATTCAGATAAATTTTTTAGAACAAATAATATTTTTTTGCTGGCAAAAATAAAATTATTGTAATAATTCATTATTTTTAGAATATTATTGTTTATAAACTAATATTAAATAATATATACTATTTATTATTATAGAATAGTATTATTAGAATTCATAAAATAAAGAGTAAAAAATTTAGGGACTTAATTAAAAATGAGATGAACTTATAAGGACTTCATAAAAAGAAAAATAAATACAAGGACCTAATTAAAAAGATGTGAAAGTATAAGGACCTAATAAAAAGAAATAAAACTATAAGGACCTAATTCAAAATCAGTTAAAACTATAAGGACTTACAGATTAATTATCCCTACAACATAAATATATGAAAAAGAAATTGTCTTGTAAATATAAAAAAGAAGTAGATGCTGCCAAACAAACATTTACTTTTATTGGAAATAGTAATGCCTCGTGAACATACCTACAAGAAGTAGCACCCCACTTTTCCCTCGCAAAAAAACAATGCTGGCTTGGCCCTAATGACAAAATTACCCCTATATGTTTTATATATTTACTCTTAGAATATTCCTTGCTATGAAGATACATCATGCTTGAACTACAGCAAAATTACAAGTCATTAAACTAACTTTTCTAACTTCTAAATAATGAAGTATAATATCTAGTGTCCCTTGTTCGGAATATTACAAAATATCACAAAATATGTGTAATAAACTATCATTAAACTTTGGTTCATATGCAATTAAAATGTCATCAGTTACAAACTACTCCTCTGATCCTATTGATAAGTCACTTTCAACATATTACATATGGACCAAGAAAAATCTTAAACTTCGTTAACTCTTATTTAAAATTCAACAACTTTCCAATTTTATCCTTATTTAATATACATTGCATATCATATAAATAAAATCAATATAATAATAAATGAAGAGTAAAATTGTATATCTACACAAAAAATTTCTTAGCGCCCTATAAATAGGACCAAAAAATGTCTTCTTTTTTTGCCTCATAAATAGAACCAGAGGACTAGGTTGTATACCTTGTGCCACACAAAAATACATTAGCTCTCAATAGAGAGAAATAGAGAGGAAGAAAAAATTTAAATGAGTTTGATTTCTTAGAAAGAATAACATAAGTAGGGTTGAAAATTTTCAAGGACGATGTAGCATCCTACCATGTTATTTCCCAAAAGAAGAATTACCATAAAATCCTAAGAAAAGAAAATAACAAATATTAATTACAAGTAAAAAGTTGTCATTTTCTCTAATGAATTTTGTCGTTACAAATTATTCTGTTGTTATTTGAACTTTTTTGTAATTATATTCCTTTCTTGAAACCTTATAACAATTCTTCCTTTCCCAACTACATCCAATATTCAAATCTTATTTATGGTACATCTTGTATCCTAATGTTATTTTCCTAACACATCTTGCATCATGATATTATTTTTTAGTTACATCCAGTACCCTAATCTTATTCATGATTTAAAGTGCTAGATATGCTATAAATAAAATTAAGGTGCTGCGAAAATAACGTCAAGGTATTCTTTATCCAATTCTCAATATAGATCATATGTATAAGTTATGGCATTCTATCCATCAACATTTCTACTTTGAAGGGAAAAAGGAAGACTTTAGAATGAGTTCACCCCAAGCGAACTAGCTTAGTTTGTGTTGAACCCCTTACGGGGAAAAGTATTCCAAAAACCAAATACATAAATAATTTATTCTTAAAACTCACTATTGATAAATACTCGTTTTTCTGGATCCCTCTTACTGATTATTCTGATAATTCGATCCTTCAATTGTAATTCTTCCCTCATTAAAATAGTTTAGTTTTTTTTTCTTGCCAACAAAATAGTAAAGTATTTATTACATCCTTGTTGAACTCGTCCTAATGTTTTGCTGATTTAGTCGCTTCGTTTCAGGTAGTGATCAAAGAAGAGTTAAATTTAGTTACTTTCTGTTGTCCTTAATATATGAGCTAACGGAGGTAATACATCATCAACCATAATGTGTGCCACAAAACAGATCCTTCTGAAACCATACTTTTCAAGTTCCACACAAGCTGAATCAACATACACCAACACTAGAACAAGCTTAAAAGCGAAACTCTATTATAAAATGCCAGCACGCAAACATTTGTACAGAAGCAAGGTAATTCTACATAATATTGTATCACTGTAAGCAGCACAGGGATGTTTATATTTCTGGGATGGCCTTCCTATCCCAAGTGTATTTGAAAATTGGCTGGATTATCCTAGTCTAGCTGTACCTGAGCTTGATGACTCACCCATTGCATCAGGAGATGCTGCAACCTGTGGTGACTCCCTCTTTAGAGAAGTTGGCATTCCAGAAATCTCCTGATAAGCATTGGAAAACCGTTGAAAAAACAAGACATGGATAAATGAAAGGAGAGCGAACTGGCAATGAGGGCAAAATCATTCAGCATACAGAATCAATCACGCTTCCATTGGAGCAAGCACTATTGCTACTATTTAGACGCTAACAGAATGTTGTATCATACCTTCATCAAATGTAACCTCATATCACAGGGGCGAACCTGATTCCCTATGCATGCCATCACAAATTTCGAGTACTGAAATAAAACGTCAGCAGCTGCCTGCTTTTTCTCTTCAATCTGAAAAATAAAAGATGGTTCCGAAGGAAAATCAAATTTAAGGAGACATTAATCAGTTAGATTGAAAATCCCAGAAACAGAGAACAGAAATTTCATTGCTCAATACAACAGGATTTATCAAGTTCAAATGTTTTCAAAGCATCTGAGTTTTTGTTTCAGAAGCTGTGAATGTTCAAATTAAATGTTCTGCCAATTGAACCCTACCTAATATAATTGTAACTTTTAGCTTGCTGGTAACTGCTATTTCCTAAAATTTGCAATGAGAGCTTGGTCATGGGTTCAAATCCTATCTTCACAGTGGGTCCCAATCCCATCTTTACAATGTAAGAACCTTTCTTAAGAGGGACAGAACTATGTCTCGAATATGGAGACTGTGGTCTGGATTCATTTAGGCTGATTACAAAGTTGAAAAAACTTTTGAGCTTGTATTTGGTATTGGTTTGCAAAGGAAGAGTTGAACCCTCTGTAACAGCTAGAGCTTTTAGTCCAGTAGTGAACACTTCTTCTCAAGGTTTTGTAAAGCTAGGACTTTTCACCGGCCTGGTTAACCCAACCAGCCCAATAAGGCAATTAGGTCAGACCAAGTTGAGCACAGATTTAACGTTAAATTAAAAAAAAATACAAGAACATAGCATACTCAACCAGGCTGGAATGCACTAGGAAGAAAGCATTGTCCCAGTCATGCCCAAGCCAAATATGCTTACTATTTTATTTTAGCTAATTATCTTAATCTTCATTGAATATTTATGTCTCATAATCTTCATTTTATCAAACTACCACCAGAGACAACTTACGAAGTTAGAATAAAATGCAAGTAATCCCAAATGACATATGAATGTGACCCTAACAAACATGAAACAAACAAAGGCCCTATGGGATCACCCGCCCAAGCATCCAAAGAATCTGAACAAAGGTGAAAAGACAACGTCCATGTTCTCATCATGTAGAAAAGACCCCAAACCAACATTGAATCAACACATGTTCAATCACTTGGCGAAATATTTTGTATTTTATAATATGCCTATTCAAACTGTTGAAGAAAAGGGTAAAAGGGATTCATAGAGTTTCTGCACAAGCTTCAACCTTCATTTAAATTCCATTAAGAGCAACTGTTACTATGGATTGTTTCAAGTTTTATCTGAAAGAAGCAAGTTTGAAAAAAGTATGGATTGTTTGCTTGATCATAGATCCTCGGACATTTTGTGGGAATACCAACTATACATGCCTTGATGTGATCCCATGTGGCATCCAAGTTGGCGTCCATGGTGGCATCCAACATGGAATCCAAGTCTAGGTGGCATGCAAAGTCAACAAGTAATGCAATGTCAAGCCATTCAAGTGGAGAAAAGACCAAGAGAAAAAAGATTCAAATTCAAGAGGTTACAATATGTACCTGGGGCTCAATTTGCCATATGGAAGGCCGAAAACATAAATATACACTTTGAGGAGGCAAGTTATATGAAGGAAGATGCATTGTTCACAGCTTAGTGCAATTCTTTCAAGCTATAGCTGGCTCTGTGTGTGTGTGTGTGTGTGTGTATTGATGGTTGATATTGATTCCCGAAACTTAAGTAAAGTTATCTCTTGAGCGTGGAACTAAATTACATTAACACTGGTTCCAAATGTACGAATTATTTTAACCAATCTAGCCATTCCATTATTAAATATAGCCAGCTAACTTCCCATGAAAATTTAAAAGTCAAAATGCGTTAATTTAAGTCACAAGAGATTGTTTCTTTCCATTTGGTAGGTTGAACACGCGTTATGCATAGACAAATTCTATACAATCAAAGCTAGCCCCAAAATTCAGTTCTTTTAGCATAAACGATTGAAAGATGCAGAGACAAGATGTATAAAAACAAATTCACACACACACAAAGGGCAAATGCAGCTTGCAAGACATTCATGTTACCAGCAAAGTTTCCGCTTCCAAGTTTCAAAACTGACAGTATAACGAATTACCCTTCCCATAGAAACTCAGAAGCGGAAACGTGGGGTATTCAAAAGATCAACACATTGGGGTGTTCAAAAAACCTAAATAAACTTAAATCAATTATTCACACTGGGCTTCAACCCAAGAAAATGAAAAGTGGGGTGTTTAAAAGATCACGCGTTGAAAATTCACAATAGTCAGTAAGAAAGATGAACGGAACTCGAAAGGTAATGACTAAGATGGCGACATCGGACAAGAAGTTCAAATAGTGAGCTGCCAATGAAATAAGGGAGGGAAAAAAAAGGAATCGCGCTAGGTTTTTCTCGCGTGTTGCATTATATTGGTTTTAAATGAGGGAGGAAAGAAACGACCAGGAATGAATTTTTTCATGAGGGCATAGATAGAGAAGATGGACGAAAGGTGGAAGAGACGACCAAATCGAAGCATATACAGAAGATAAAAAATTCTATAGGAAGCCGATTTACAAAAATCAGAGAATTACCTCGTAGTCTTTCATGGTCTTTCGTGCGCTGTTCTCTTCCTCCTCCAAAGGTTTGCGGGAAAAGTTTGAAACGCGTCCTCGATATAGCAATCCCCTCACCCGCGTACAAAGTCACCGTTATTCCTTACCTTGGGTAATTTTTCCTTTTTAGGCCTGATTTTTCCTTGGTAATTTGAATAAGCTGAGTCTTGTTAAAAACCCCAAATGACAAAAAAATTATACTCCTCATATCCTTAATATAAGACCTATTTGACTAATTTGATTAGATTAAAGAAGTTAGGTAAGTTAGTTAATTATAAGAAATGTGATGTATTTTTTCTAAAATACCATAATCATCTTTCTTAATACTCCATTTTCCTTTTCTACTTGATTATCGTTGAGGGAGTATCTATAAGGATAATCTAGAAAAAATTAATAAATATGATAAATATATCTTATATTTAGAGATTATTGTATCTCATTTGAATAAATAAAGTGATACTCCTCCGGTCCTTAATATAAGACCCATTTAACTAATTTGATTAGATTAAAGAAGTTAGGTAAATTAGTTAATTATAAGAAAAATGACACATTTTTCCTAAAACACCATAATCATCTTTCTTAATACTCCATCTCCCTCTTTTACTTGATTATGGTTGAGGAAGTATTCATAGGGGTAATTTAGAGAAAATTGATAAATATGAGAAAGGAGTCTTATATTTAGGACCAAAACCAACTCAAGAATTGGGTCCTATATTAAGGACCGGAGAAGTATTATTTATAAAACTGCCTCTAGTTAGAAAACTTTACATAATATTAGAGTCAAGTTTGCTATTTCCTTTTCTTCCCAAGGCCCGAATCGTAGGAGCCCAGACAGATCTACAACAAAAAAAGGAGAACAAAGTAGAATCAATTTGATCAGAGGACAGGGAAAAAGCCGATTGCTCCTCTCCTTGTGTGCAAACGTTATTTGTAATCAAGAACCTGGGGTTCTGAGACATTTGAAGTTCACCGTTATTCATGTTTAGATCGCTCCTTCCCCTTTTCTCAAATCATCCGACTCTAGAACCTTCACTTGCCGCTCCATCTTGCACCATCTTCTTTGATTTCAACAGAAAATCTTGCGCGAATCTTGCGAATCTCCCCTTTCTTCCTGCTTTGCGTCGTCTCATTTCCATTTACCCGTTTTAATATGTACAGTTTAAGCGAATTATGAAATAAGCTCATAAATTGAAATTAAAAATTTGATTCTAGGGTTATTATCAAGCAAATTTCAAATTGTTTTTCCAATTTTAAAAATTAATAACTAATTATAAAATAATTGTATTGAGGTGATTTCAGTCTCATTTAAAGCTCTTTCCATTCTCTATAGGAAAAAAAATAAATATGGACTCAAAACTGCTCAATTTGTACAGTTAATTTGCCAAATTTATTGTTTATTTGGTCAAACAGTGCATTTTCAGATTCTCTACCCTAACTTTAACTAATCATATTTCTTGGCATACACATTTAATCTCGTTTTGAAGCTTAGAATGTTTACTAGTTGCTCACCAATTTTATGGGCAAATTCATTCATTTATTTTACTTTTACTCTATCTCAAATTTGCTACTCATTAAGAGTGATTTATCTTCCTTTACTTAAATTTAACAATTCATATTCATTTCTTACATACATATAATCATTCTAACATCACACAAATCATACTCATGTATCACCATGCTCAACTTTACACACCACAGCCATCATTTAACATTACATAATATTGAGAAGCATGTTCATATACACATTAACATAAAGATTACATTAAATACATAAGTATAATTATCATTTTCTTCTCTTCTTTCTCTCTGTTCTTCTTCATGTATTTGTCTTCCTTTGTACATCATACTTACTATGATTGGCTAAGGGAGAGTGAGATTTAGAAGAATCCCAATAGCAAACATTACCTATACGTCTACAAGGTAAATACTAAGTGCATAATATGTTTGGACTCATGCTCTCATACTTTGATGCCTATAAATGATATGCTCAAGTGCTCAATATTTCATTCACACATGACCATGGAATATACAAGAAATAAAGCAACATTCATTCTTTAATATTCTACGTCATCATCAAGTAACACCAACAGACAAGCATACATGTCAAGCACACAATAAAAGTAAGTTCACTGCTTTGTATCTTTAAGTTTTTCCTTGTTCTTTTTGCCTCCAACCATCAAAATTGCTTGGACAACCTTGCCATTCTTCTTTCTTGGTGTCTCATGATCTTAAATTCACATTACAAGTCAATGGCCAACCCATTAGGGCCATGGAAATCACTAACTATTCTATTAATTCTCAAAATTATTCCTCTTTAACTCTAAATTTTTACTTTCTTAATCTTGGCCTATAAAATTATTCTCTTGGTCATCTCCAACTCAATTTTTCATGCGAAATTCATATATGAGTCTGGATTTAACAAAATCTCTCTCCTTTCCTTAGAAACCCTTAAGGCCAAGAGATATAGAGTTTGGAATCAAAATTTTCATTTTCAATTCTAATACTTCTAAATACCTTTTTTCTACATAATCCTACACAATGTCGCCTTCTAAAATCATTGGAAGCATCAAGTCCACATGAATCAAACCCTAATCCTATGAACAAGCCTTGTTTAAGAGGTTCCTTAACATTACACAGTCATGATATTCATCTAATTTTCTCTCAAAACCACTTGATTCTCATTTCTTTTAAACCTTTAAACGTAATTCTAACATCAATCAATCTTTTTTATGGTTTAAATATAATTGAATAACACCTCAACCTAGAATTTCAAGCTTTCAAAATCTATCAAAATCATAACCAAGCTCAACAAGACAAAGAACAAGGTAAACTACATCAAAAACCATAGCCATACCTTACTTTGAAGCTTGGATTTTGCCTTGCACTTCATGCTCTTTTTCTTCTCCTTCTTTCGTTCACGAATTTAGCCTCTCCCTTCCTTCTTAATGCTCGGCCAAAAATCTTAAGCGAATAGGAGGGAATAGGTATTTATAGTGTTAGAGCTACCCTTTATCTTGGGTTAAACTAAATTACCTTTACCATAACACTTGCTATCTAACAAAGCCTTCTCTTCCATGATTTTGCCAAGTGTTATCATCAATTTGCCAAGTATTTTGGCTTCTAGATTCCTTATTTCCATGTGCCTTGCCATGTGTTTCTTGATTAGGCTATATACTCCATGATCTTGCCACGTGGCCTTAATCATATTACAATTTCCTCACATAGCATTAGAATAATTCCACCAACAGAAAGCTCTTAGGTGGCATGAAAATGAAGAGGAGAAGAGAGAATTGGAAAGCTTCTTCAACGAGTTTCCAATCATCCAATCTGATTTGTCTCTTATCGGTTCTTTTTCTTTTTCCACATGCCTTGTTGAAATTTGTATCCAATGGAAGAGCTTCCATATAGCGCCATCTAAGAGGAGAAGAGAGGAAAATAGGCAACTCTATTAATAAACTAGTCACCCTCACGAAGTTATGCAGCAGAGATTTTACCATATTGGGTAGACAGAGGATTGTCTAATCTCTACCCTTACTGTGTTCTGCTTTTTCTATTTTCCTTAGATATCTTCTGATGACTCAGAGCCTTCATAATGGTGTCATAAATGCATTCGACGACTCATCATGCAGACTCAAAACTTTCATTAATGACCTTTAAATATTTCTTTGACTTTGTCTCCTCTTTAGGGAATATTAAATAATTAATATTTCACGGGATCATTTCAAGCAATCCAGAACTTCAAAAATTCATTTGTCTATACCATACACTTTATTTAATTCTAAGAAAAATCTCTGAATTTTCACATGCCATAACTCAGCCTGTAAGTATTTCTTTTGGAATTTCCCATAAAATGCCACTAAATGGCATAATCGGGCTTTAAAATATTTTTAAAATCATTCTATTGGCCTTCTGTAGATGATACTAATTTTAAAATTTTTTATACCTCTTAGCTCATGAGACCCCATTTTTACTCATTTTTTTGAGGCCTCCGTATGGCTCAAATAATTAGTTCTAATTGTATATCTCTAAATGAGTCATAATCTTAAAAATTCCTTTAAATTTATCTTAGGGGTATTTTCATCATTTCTCTTCACAAAAAGGCCTTAAAACATCATTTCCTATTTTTTGAGAATTTTTCTAGAGTTTTCTGAATATTTTTCTATGGTTACCCCATTTGACTAAAAACTTCTTAAAATTACGATTTTGTCCTTGATTGTGCTAAACCTCATAAATCACCTTATTGAAGCCTCTTATATAACCTTTGACCTATAACTAACTTTTTTTCTCACTTCTGGGTTTCGAGACTTCACTAGAGTTTCTAACTTTATTCATACTTTAACCCCTTGGACTTTCCAAAGTTGCAGTTTAGTCTCTAAAGACCCTTTAAATTTTCTCTTGCATTTCTGTGATCCCTATAACATTCCAACTTTTAGACCTAAAAGTACCAAAATAGCCTGAATTAGTTAGGCTACTAGACTCCTTTTGAACAGAAGTCCCAAAGATGAGAAAGGAAGTCAAAGCAGTTTTAGGGACTAAACTGCAAAGTAAAAGTTTTCAGGAGCTCAAGTATAATCAAGGCTAGAGACTCCAGTAAAGTCTTAAGGGCCAAGAAAGAGAAAAAAGAGTAGAAACAGGCCAAGGGTTAAGTTAGAAACCTCAAAGAGATGATTGTATGAAGTTAAATCCAAGTAGAGACTAAACTGTAAATTCATAAAGTTATAACCAACATGGGTAAAAATAGAAGAATATACAGAGAATTCCAAGAAAATCCCAAAAAATAGGAAATAATATTCTAAGGCTCTTCTATGAAGAGAAAAGACGAAAGTACCCCTGAGGTAGCTTAAATGGAATTTATAAGGTTATGGCCGGTAAAAAGTACATTATTCGAGGTAATTATTTGAAATAGGAAGAGACCTAAAAAATATATAAAAAAATGAGATTAAATGATTGAAAGGTTGTACTAATTTACAAAATTAGTCCTGTAACCAAAAGGCCAGTGGAGTGGCTTTCATAAATTAAAAGCTGATTATGCCGATAAAAGGGTATTTTAGTAAATGAAGTTTTATGTAAGGCTTAAAGG